TCTATTTCCCCATCCTCATATATAAATATATTTACATATGTACATGGCTTTATTTAGACCTCTATAAATGCCCTTTGCCTCCTAGCTCTATCTGCCTGTACTTGATGTTTGTTTGTCCTTTTGGCAGTCCACGGTACTTACAGTATTCTTTGCCAGCACCATCATTCAAATGCATTGATTCTTCTTCCATCTTCCTTATTCAATGTCCAACTTTCACATGCATATGAGGTGATTGAAAATACAATGACTTGGGTCAGGTCCACCTTTGTCCTCAAAGTAATGTCTTTACTTTTCAATACTTTTAAAAGGTCTGCAGCAGGTTTACCCAACACAATGCATCATTTGATCTCTTGACTGCCAGCTCCATGAGCATTGATTGTGGATTCAAGGAGGAAGAAATCCTTGACAACTTTGACTTTTTAAGTCTCTGGCTCTCTATAAATGCTTGGGCCCTGCTATGACCCTGTTCTCACGGTCTCCCTCATCCAGGTGATGTGTTTTTCTCTTTGTCTTATCTTTGTCCTAAGACTTAATACATGTTCACCTTAAACTGAGATTTGAGATCTCATTTTCACCCTAAGAAACGTTTGTGTATTAAGCTAATTCATGCTCAATCCCCTGCAACTACTTTTTAATGATCTTTAGTAGATACTAAGTCCAGCAGCCACAGTGTTGCTGGTGGTGTCTCTTCTCTTGGGAAGCAAAGATTCCCTGTTATCAGTTTGTCTGTCTCTCCAGATTTTGGTAGTCATTTGTTCTGTGACCTCAATTCTCTGACAGACATAAGAAAAGCTGTTTTTCAGCGTTTTTATTCTTCTTGTGAGGATAACAACACAAGTTTCTTTCCTGTTCCTGTTCCAGAGGCCACCCACACTGCTTAGCTCATGCTTCCTTCTGTCATTTTCAAAGATAACAGTGCTGTTGCCCAGATTAGGGGTTCAGGTATTTTCTTAGCCAATTGACATAAAGCAAGGACTCCATGCAAGAGAAACAGAAAGGGGTTTTATTGTCTGAGCAGATGAGGAGCAGTGTGTGTGTGTGTGTGTGTGTGTTGTCTCATGTCCCAAACTGAGTGCACCTGGGTCTCTTCAACCCACCACACTTCTAGGTTTCTGTCCCCTTCCCACCCTTCCATGACCTCTAACGAACCCCTATCAATAAAGGAAGGTTCAAGTTGCTAAGTCATGTTCTCCTGAATGGTCTTTAGGTTCTAATAAAACCATGTGACAGATAATGAGATAAACACTGTGCATGCTCTCTGTCCTGTTCCAACCTGGGAGGACCCTGGGGCCATTCTTTGCAAAAGACTCTTATACATAGAATGTTGCACAAATGGAGGATTTAGATAATAGCAGGATGGGTCACTAAGTACCAGATTGGGGTGGGGGAGTCTTACAAAGGTGGTTTGGCTAAGTGTTCAACAGTGGTGCTTCAAACCTTTCTCGTATCTCAGTACTTGGACTTTCTCTTTTGCATCCCTTTTCCTCTCTTGTGTTTATACCATGTCCATCCAGATAATTCAGTATATTATTTCTGTGTTAAGGTCAATGGACTGGCAACCTTAAATATTTCTGTTACCCCAATTCCCCTTTGCCATGTAATCTAACATCATCACAGATTCCAAGGATTAGGACATGATTATCTTGGAGACCATTATTCTACTTGCCAGAATTTGCAAATACATGTGTAAGCAGGTCCTTCCTGGTCTCTCCTCTAATTTAGCACCATCCTCACTCACAAAATACACCACATGTTCAACTCCGATAGCCTAGAAAGATGCAGAAGAAAGTTTATCCCTAACACTTCTTAAGAAACCCACTTAGCTAACTCTTTGCCTCCCTAAAGTTTCTCACTTCATAGAAAAATATCTTACAGAGAATATGGCTTCTACAACTTTTGGTCTTAGGTGATTTTAAAGACTGATTTGTCAGTTGTTGGTTCTAAGTTGTCAATTTGTTGCTTCTCTGCTTTTTACATAGGACCAGTGACATATTTTTCTCACAAGGTTGGTCGTCCTTAATTTTTACCTCTGTCTGTCCCTTAATTGCTACCATATTTGGGGACATATTTTTTTCTCTAGTGTCTTCAAGGTAGCCTGATTACTTTACGCCAGAGTGACTTTGTAGCCCTGGGCTTCATCTCAGCTGTAGAAATAGTTCAAGGGTCTTGAAAACAGAGAAGTCCTTCTGGCCCAGACTTCATCCCCTTCTAGGAAAAAGCCAACTTCTTAGAAATACTGAGCCCCTGGAGAGTATGTGGCACCTAATATCCTGCTTTTATTTTCGTGTAGATTTTTGAAACTTGCTTACTCGAGTGAAGTCATAAATGAGTTGGCACGATTGCGCCCATTCTTAGGAGAACTTTCTGATTCTCTGTCACTTACTTTTTTAGTTTTGGGAAAATTGTATCACCTCTATAAACCTCAGTTCCTTTTTTTTGTAAAATGCTCTTATTTTCCTTGTGGGAGGCTGCTGGAGCCCAGAGAGATAGTTGGTTTCAAAACATGTGACTTGTGTTTTAGGAGTAAGAAAGCCCACAAAATTAAATGTATTGTATAGAGAGCCGCTTATTAAGTTATAGCAGGACAAAATAAAGGATAAAGACGAATCATCCAGAGGAGGAAGATCATCAGCATAAGGGTGCCACAGTGTCCCACGCGTCCCAATTACACAGCTACCTATAGAGGACACAGGACAAGAGGAAATGGTCACAAAATTGACGAGCAGCAAATCAACGCATCCCATTTGCAGGCAGGACTACAGACGTGGGAAACAACCATAATTGAGATCCACTATTGTAGATCAGAAAAGCTTTCAAGATGGGTCAGGGCCCTCCAACCACATTGTTTAGAGTATGATTCATGACCACGGGGCCTTGGTATCTCAATTGCCATCACAGGCATACTGACGCTAGTTCTTGAGGGCAGGCAGTCCCTCTCTGAGCTGACCAGGGCAACGGCAGCAAGCTTGCTCTGCCTAAGGGCAAACTTTTACATTGCTGGTCAATGATCAGGAAAAAATCTGGAGACTGAATCAACGTGGACACGTAAAATGGATTTCAGGCTCCCACCATAAATCGTAGGCTTCTACAAACCCTGTGCTCAGCATTTAAGCTCTAATACACCTGTACTGTGCGCCACACATGTGAGGCATTGTGGTGCAAAGAATTATTTAATACGAACCTCTTAGCTGTAGTCTTTACAACTCCCACCAAATGGCTGGGTGTGTCTACGTGAGATGTTTGTGATCCATTGTAAGGTATATGACAGGGTCTAGGAGTTGTTGACTAATCTTGGGAGTGGGTGTAGGCAGGACTAGACAAATAAGGTGTATAGTACCTTGATGTGGTCAGTTTTGCCATCCCCTAGACTTAAAACGAGTGGTCCCAGAGAGGATAGGGGGGTCTTACTACGATAAGGAAAGAAGACATGGGAGTGGAGCACTCTCTTGGGACCTTGGATTCCTGTACTGGGAACCTCCTAGATCCGGGAAACAGAGAGTTGTAACGCCAGGGATGGCAAGGGACAACCGCAGAAACATGGTAGCAGCGGAGACAGCAAAGCCAAGAGCTCTGCATGAGACAGTGCGTTGGACTCTCTGGCCAAAGGCATGAGAAAGGTGAGCGCCTTCAGATGGAAGGCTTGCTGGCAGTGCCTCTGGGCACTTGGGGCTAGATTTACCAGCGCAGGCAGTTAGTGCTGAGTGCCTTCGGGCCAAGACCTTCTAGCGGAGTGGGGTGCCTTTGGGCACTTATCAGCAGAGCTAATAGAGCTTGGCAACACTTGCCCAAGTCAGGCAGAAGCCAAGCGATGAACCAGTAGGCTGAGGGCAAGAGAGGTGTGCCTTTGGGCACTGCTGAGAAGAGGCTGTCCTGCTTGGAAAAATGAATGAAGTCCTTTCTGAACCTGTCCGTTCCCTAATCAGCCTCAGAAGCATGAGCGCAATCTATGGATTCTGTTTGGTCTTGGCAACAAATGGTCAAAACCAGCGGAAGAGTAGAGAGTACCTTGGGAGGGACAGCGGGTTTCAGAATTGCTAAAAGGGTTCTAGGAGTTGCCTTGGGCTGTTGAGCTCCACCCTCCTACCCTCTGGTGAAGTTGGAGGAGGTCAGACACTTTGGCCAGGCAGTTTTTATAGGCATTATTTCTTTCCTTGGTCTCTTCCTACTCCAGAACCCGTCCCCTTCCCGCAGATGGTGAAAAAGTCATCCTCCCTTACACCAGACTGGTGCAATGTTACACTGGAGTGCAGTGTCCCAGGGCCTGCAGAGCAGAACCTGAGCATGACCTGTAAGAGCAAGGACCTTCCCACGAACCTGCATCCAAGTATCACATCAGGACCAGGCACCAACTCCTGGACCTTTACTGTGGATGTAGCCCTGAGTCAACCCCAGAGCCAGCCCAATGGCAGCATCGCCTGTGTGGTCAGCAACTCTGAGGATGAGAAAACTGTCACCTTCGACCTGAAGGACACCTGTGTCCATGGTAAGTGGAGCTCGTCAGGAGGAGGGGCACTCTTGGAACACAGATGCCACCAGGGTACAGGGGACTCAAGACTTTTCATTCTGGCAGGTGCATTAGCACCAAATTCTACCTGGTCACCCCTTCCAGATGTCTGGGAGTCACAGTCAAATAATTTCTGCTTGCAAATATCTCTCACTTTAATCCCTCTTCCCATTGGTACAGTCAGTACCTCCCCACATCTCTGCCCACTTCTAGTCCTTCTCTTCCCCCGTTCACCATCCATTGTGCACTCCGAGTGGGTGGTCATATCTCCAGGGAGTTCCTGCAGGACTCATATAGAAATCCTCCTTCACCCATGTTTCTGTTCTTACACACTATATACCTAATTGGAGATCTCAATGTGTCCTGCCCCACCAACCCTTCCATGCCCCACGTGCCTCACTTCCTTCTAACTCCACTTGAATATTTCTCTATAGCCAGGCCTACCATCCAAACCATGACACATGTGAAGTCACACGGGGCCCTGTGCTCTGAAGAACTCTGCACTCGGGTGAAAGCTCTAGGGTTTCTGTATTAAATCTTTTAAATTAATTTTAACTTAATTTCAAATAGTCACAATTTTTGAACAAGAGGCCCCGCATTTTTTGTTCACACAGGGCCCTACCAGTGCTGTAGCTGCTTCTGTGCTGGGCCACTATCTCCTCTATGGACCCATCAATGGCCCTCTCGCACTTGGGGCCAAGGCTCCTTCTATTACAATGTCTCCTGAGCCGAGTAGGAATGTTCCATATGCTGGATGCTCTGAGACAGCTGCTCTGTCTTGTTCTCCATTGTACCTTGGCTTTTGGCTAAAGTGTGCTTGGAATGAGTGTCTCATTGAGTACACGAATGAATGGATGGATAGCAATGGGCAGCCTCACCACCCTTCTGTAACCCACCCTCTACCTTCTACTGGAGGGATCTGGTAGTGTTTCCATGTCAAGTTAAGCCGTGTGTGACCCTCCACCTTCATCCTGGAGTCTCAGATAAAGTTTAGCACTTAGCATGATCCACAACACCGTCTAAGACCAGACTCTTGCCTCCCTCTGCTCCTTCCTGCCTACTCCTCCTCCCTGCCCTGAGCACCTGTCTGTCGCACCCACACTGCTCTCTTATCCCCAGCAGGCTGGCCTTTTGATACAACTATTTTCTGAACATGGTGCTTCTGGGATAGCCCCATATCCTATCTATAACCTATGTATTTAACGTATATATATAACCTATGTATAATGTTTAAGACTCCGCTTTCCCCGAAGACTTGTGTACAAAGCACGAAAGCTCGACCACAGAGGTGGTCCCTTTGTTGAGCAGCATGAAGAGCTGCGTGAGGATACAGCACCCATCTTTTTCCTGTCGGTGTCTCCGGCACCAAGCCGAAGCTTGGCAATTGGGTGACTGAATGGGCCTGCCCTCGCTCTCGCCCTTTAAGCTTCTGAACCATGTTCCTTCAGAGTTTTCCACCTGTGCTTTCTCTATGTTCTCTTGGCAACGAGTATCTCAAATTCCCTCTTGCTTTACCTTTCTTGAGGGAAACAGGACAGACTGATAATAGACTCCTGAGAATCAGCCTTGGCATCTCTGTGTTTTTGCTTATGACCTTGGGAGCTGGACTGTTCCTCTGGAATACACATTGGAAGAAGAAGAAGGAGGAGGAGGAGACCAGGAGAGGCAAGTTACACCCTTCCATGATGCCTTCGGAGTCCCCTGCATCTTGCTGCACAGGGAATGGGCTTCTCAGGGAGGATGCGGGGTTTGGCCGTGGCTGTGGAGGTCATGGAAGTGGAGGAGAGATACCAGTTTCTAAGTTACAGAACCAGTCTTCTCTCTGTGTGTGTCCAGGTTTGCAAACAGACTGCAGGGACGATGATGGTGACCTCAACTATGTGGAAGTGGGCCAGCAGGAGGCTCCGAAGGGCAAGAATAAGGTGAGCCCTGGAGAGGGGGCTGTCCTGGACACCTCTAGGATACTGCCTTACCCTGATGTCCCCAATCCTCGGATCTGTTCTTTCTGCCCCCACAGTCTCTTTTTCTTCTTCTAGGATATCAACATACTGTATATACTTGAGTATAAGCTGAGACACCTAATTTTACCACAAAAATATGCTGAAAATACTCGACTTATACTCGAGTATATACGGTAATTTTGTATGAGAATTTGCAATCCGGGTCACCAAATACTTGATGCTTTGGGGGCATTTATAAGTAGGAGTGTCGACGGGCATTGGCACTATGTGGGTCCCTCAGTTGGCACCTTACCTCCAGCTGATCTTTCTGTTTTGCATTCCCAGGGTATCAGAGAGCAACATCTGGAAGAAAAAGTGTCTCTCACTACCATCTACAGTGAGGTCTGTAAACCAGGGCAAGCCATGAAAATACTTTAATTGAGAAGGCAGGAGAATCTGGTCCTCCTGAGACACCACCATTGAGCCTGTCACCCTTTGGATACTTGCCCTTCCAGCAGTGGCCTAGTTCCAGCTGCTCCTGGTTTGGATTATCCTGACCTTCCTATCTGAAGCCCCCTGGGAACACATGACACTGCTCTTCTCCTCATCTCTTGCCTCCAGCTTCCCATAGGATGTCTACAAACTCAGGATCCTCAGCCTGTGAAGTACGTGAGGCTGGATTCTCTAGAAAAGCAAAATCAGTTCTCTCTCAAACTCACCAGCTGATCCACAGGAGAAAGATGGGGCTCTCTGCGTGTGTAAAGATTTACAGACTTGGAAACCTTATGTGGTAATTACATAATTTCATGTCAGGTTTAGGGGTGGAATCTAACCTGTCAATCAGGTCACAGCCTGATGACCCCTCTTGGTGGGTCCACAATAGCAGGATTGTGGGAACTTCCTCTCTCTCTGCCTTCACCTTCCTGCTGCTGAGCTACACTGAGATCGGAGAGTGACCCTGGAGATGCATCCATTGCCATTGGATCCACGGGGCTTTGCGCCCACCGGCCAGTGACACTCCTGCATTCTGCATCATTGCATGTGGCTTTAGGAGTCTGAATAAGAACGTATGGGCTAATATTGGACTTATGGACAAGTGTAGAACTTATGGACTTGATCTGGACTGAGCTGGGATGTTTTCCTGATATATAATCACTCCTTGATGTAAAGCTGTCTACACATATATGAGTGTTACTGGATTTGTTTCTCTAGGCAACCCCGCCTAAAACACGTTCTATATATAGGATTGCTATGGGTCATCAGCAACGCAATAGCATAGGGTAGTGTACATTATACTCCTGGACCAGAGCCTGCACCTAGGCCTGAACTTTGCCCACTTTTCCAAAACCCTTCTTTCTGTGAAGTAGGAAGATGCATTATTCAGGCCTTTCCCTACCTTCTATTTCCCAGGTAATGATTCCGATACGCTACATTTTGGGGTTGTCTTATGATATAAATAGCCCCTGCTCTTCCCCTGGTCCTGGGTATGGCATTAGTGGAAAGAAGAGATCTGTGGAGTCTTTCTGACCCACTCTGAAGTCCTCTGTCATGGCAGGGCTCTTGTGGGCTCTAACACATCAAGCCTGTAGGGAGGTCAGCTACTCCTTAGTCTGCTCTTTTATCGAGTTCCCAGTCCCTCCAGCAGTGCTGCCACCGCCCATCGCCCATAAACCACTGGCAGGCCTCTTCCTTACTCGAGTGAGGGTCCCTCCCACTGCTCTTCCCTCCCACCCCTACCTCTTTTTATTCAACTCCCCTTTTCCAAATCCCACATCCCAGATGCCATTTCCATGTAGCCTTTCTACTCCTAACCTTTCTGCACACCTTGGACATCACTCCAGGGCCCTGCCACTGTCTGCTCTGGAGTGCAGTCACACCTTTACCAGGCTTGGTACAGGAGGCCCAGGGCCAAGGAGAGCAAGCACCTCTTTGAAGGACTGGTCCGTCCTTCTGCCCGCTTCCACAAGGGCTCAGCAAAGGATGCAGAACTCAGAGGCTGCAGGTAGTCTCAGGGGCGGAGGGCATGACGACTACTCAGAACTCACCTGATGCAGGGGTCTCGGCTTTCCCATGCCAACTCCAGCCTCATACGGTCCATCCTGCACAGTGGTGTGTGAATGTTTCGCTGCTTGGGGTCCTGTGTTAGGCTGAGTTGTCTAGAGAACCCCAACCAGTTACACTCATGTATATATTTATGGATAATATATATATGTATAATGTATAATTGTATATCAAGGAGTAATTTTATATCAAGATGTCATCCCAGCCCAGTCCAACCCAAGTCCATGGGGCCGATGCAAGCCGGAGCCCTCCTCAGACTCACGTAGCTATAGGACAGCCCCACAGAAAGGTGAAGCAGGAAGCCAGATATCCCAGGGCGGTGGGTGCAGAGTGGATCCCAGGTTCGTTGGAGTAAAGCAGGTTACCGACAGCTCCCAGGTTGAGGGGTTCAATTTGGACTCTCACGGGAGGGGTGCAGGGAGGAAGGCACAGGGCATGTGAGAGCAGTTCTCACTGTTTCTCTCTTAAGGTCCGCGTCTCACTCCCCCATTCCTCCTCCCCCCTCAGCCACCCTCCCTCCATCCCAAGGAGTCATCACCAGGCTACCACCTAATTGACAGGTTGGATTCCACCCCTACACAGGTATCAAGTTGACATAAAATCTAACCAGCTCAAGGTCTTACCTATTCATGGCTGCCGCCTCCTTGCTTGGGGAGCAGCTCCTGCGTCAGAGATAGGCTGGCTTTGCTACAATGGACCACTATGGCTTCTTTGGTGGCCTAGAGGCCCTTTGGTTCCTGCAATTTAGTGAATTGTTTGACTATGATCTTTTACCCAGAGCCTTTGCTATTCCTACCAACAACCCTGGTTTCCCTGATGGGTGAATTGTTTGACTATGATCT